TTAAAAAGTTAACTGATGAAATTCTGGGAAAATAAAAGTGTTTTCACCTGACGCTGAAAAGAATAGAGTAGGCAGCAGGTGCACCTCTGTGGGGATCTCATTCCATAGCTAGGATGCCACACCCAAAAGGTCCTTTTCCTGATAGCCACCCGCTTCACTTCCTTTGGAGGAGGCTCCTGGAGAAGGACGCCTGCAGATGACCTCAAGGTCCAGGTAGGTACATATGGGACAGGGTGTTCCTTCAGATAACCTGGCACCAAGTGTTTAGGGCTTTGCATGCTCATACTAGTTCTTCACCCCCGAGTTAAGGTCAAGATGGTTTGATCCCAAGAAGGACCCAACCCTGATGGGAACAATAATGGGAAAATACATTTTCCTTTTCCTTGCTCAAAAATCTTTTGCATTTCCACTGTCAGCTTTTATAGTTTGTATGAACAGATCAGTCCATTGAGACGCTTGGCATGGGAGGTAAATGCAACTCTGGGGTGGGAAGAAAAATTGTTGCAAAGGGTGCAAACTACTGCATGGAGAGAACCCAACTTGCTTTTGTTCTCGTTCTTGATTTTAGTCTTCCCACCTGATCCGGGAGTAGATCAGGCTTTGCATTTTTCCAGATAATTCCAAACAAGGCCTGTAGGTTGTCTTCCCTGCTGAAGCAACATAGCACAGACTGAAAGAGGATTTTTATGAGACTATTGGCAACATGTATGGATGAGAGACTTTGGTGTAAAAGGGGAGGGTCGTGGTGCACATACACAGAGTAAATATGCATTTCTGTGAGTGAATGCGATCTTGTAAACTTGTGACTAATTACTTTTCCCCGAAAGGCAGCATGGGCGAGATTTATTGCATGGGAGACCCTTTCTGGCAAGAACGGCCATTTGCCTTGTGGCAGGTATTTGACTGTTGACATTACTGGCATGGGGCAGCATCATTAGCAGCAATCAGACAACGGTGGCCTACTGCCTTGGTGCTTTCCCACAGCACATTTAAATCCTTACTGTCCAACACAGAACAAAAGTGTCATGTTTTGCATGTATCTCTCATTCTTGCTCAGTGCAGCGATAGACGACTCCTCTTTTCCTTGCTCGTTCTAATTGTGTGCTGAAATTTTCCAGTGGATCAGCACAAGTAACATAGTTGGACCACCCGCCGTGTAATTCAGGTGGAGAAATGCTTCCAGTCCACTTATAAGCCCTTATGGGAGAAATCTAATGGAGTGGGACTCTCTCCACTGCTCTCCCTACAAGCATCCCTGAACCCTCTGGAGAAGATTCTGAGGACACATGGAAGGGGAAATCACTCCCCTTCTTTTGCTGACAAAAGTCCCTCCAGTGGAAATTGAATATAACCCAGTGTATATAATTGACCACTATTGAAAACCCATGTTTACAGATGTCTTATTCTATTTGTTTAGATGTGTAACTTTTGCTGGAGGAAACAACCTAGAATCACACATAATGCTCCTGCTCTGTCTAAACTCTTTATGTCAGGATTTTTCAGCAGTGCATTCCAGTACTTCTCCAACTATAATCCAATCGGGCTGGGCTGGTGGGGAATCTTTAATTAGTTGAGGGCTACTAAGGCAATTTGATGTGCTTATCCAATAGCAGTCTTGGGTGCCCTTGCATTTACTATTTGGAAAATAGTATTTAATGAGTGTTCCAAATCAGATAACCCTGTGATTACTTGTTGCTGGAACAACAGTAGACCATGCTGAGCAGTGGTTTGTTTTTTCATTGTTTACTTTAGTTGGACTCCTGGAGTTTGCAAGCTGAACATTTGTTTTCCATTCCTAGGTTGTGCTTCCTTTCCCCCACCTCTCATGCCAGTTAAGAATATCTCCGCTTGTTCTGGCTCTGTAAAGTGCTGAGTCCATCCAGAGAACCCACTGGCCAGTGAGAGGTTTGTGTGCATGGAATGCATGCCTTCTCTGTGTTAGGAAGAACATAGGACTAATGCTGAAATAAAAGCAGTCTATTTTGGAAAAGGTTGTAAATGTTAATACTAAGGAAGATGCCCCTTTCTCTGTCATGTATTTTAATTCTTGTACTGTTGCTCAGTTTTGCTTTGGTTGTTTTCTTTCATGCTGTAGTTTAACGTATTGTATCACATTCTGTTGCGTATGTGGGGGTAAGGCAGACAGATTCAGCTGTTGGGTGGTATAGAAATGTAATTCGTTCATTAATACAAAGTGCCATTGGAGTAGTAGGTGAAAATAGAGAACTGAGTCCCAAAAGTGTTCGAACAAGGAGATGCATCAGATCAAGGTCCAGCGAGATTCAAAGATAGCCAGTGCTGGAACCAATTAACAGAAACCAGAGGAAAGGATGTCCTAATGTGGGGTGCCCAGTGGAAAGAACCCCGACAGTGTCTTCCATTGCATCACAACTAGTCGGTTCCAGTGAGACCCTTCTTTTCTATCCTACTTTGAGCACGTGGCTGATGCTTGCCATAGAATGGAGAGTAAGGGGGAGCACTGCATTGCTCCAGGACAGTGATGGCGAACCTTTAGAGACCGAGTGTCCAAACCGCAACTGAAATCCCACTTATTTATCGCAAAGTGCCAGCACTGCAATAAAACCTGAGTATGATGCTGCAGATTCACCTGTGCCAGGGGACAGCACAGCATTAATTAGAACATCTCTTTGGTAAATCTTAGATACTAAATTTCAATTTTTCATAAGAAAACTCAAAGCCAAAATCTTGTGTTAATAAAAACGAATGTACTAAAACAGCCAGTCCAAGCAAATATATATATATATATGTATCCTTGGCAGTGCACTGACTGGCCATGCGAAAGCTCGGACGAGCCGCAGCTAACGGGTCGCGGCTTGTGACGTCATTGCCTGGCACCGCTGCTCCTCCTGAGCATGTGCATGGCCCCTATGTGCGCTGTTATCCAATGCTTGGCTGCTGGGGTGATGCTGGGGCGACTTGGCTTGTGTGCCAACAGAGAGGGCTCTACGTGCCTGCTGTGGCACATGTGCCATAGGTTCACCACCACTGCTCTAGGATTTGTAAACTTAACTGGCTGCACCATTATTTTAAATCTTTAATGAGTATACTTACAGTAAGAGCTGGCTTAGCTTTGCAGTATGCACATGTGGCCACTGGGTGGCAGTCTAGTTTCATCACTACCACAAGTATGTGTGAGACTGATTACGCAATATTGAAATGCAGATATGGAATTAATTAATATGAAATTAGTGGAAATGAAATAGATAAATGGTTGTCAGCATCCCATGCATATATGGAATTAATTAATATGAAATTAGTGGAAATGAAATAGATAAATGGTTGTCAGCTTCCCATGCAAAGTTCTTTGGTTTACTAAAATTAGTGCACCCTGGTGCCCTCCAGATACGTTGGGCTATGACTCCCAGCTGGTCAGGCAGATTAAAGGATGCCAAAAGTTGTAGTCCAGCATACCTGGAGGGCACCAAGTTGTAGGTAGGAAGGATCAAAGTCCCACTGCTACTCTACCCATCTTGCAGCTGGTAGTTTTCTCCACACCACCTGCAAGACCAACTCAGGACTGGTGCCGGGGCCGGTGCATTCTGGGAGATGGGGAGGGAGGCTCCCCCAGGATACGAAGCCTATCTTTGGTGCCCCAGTCTCTCCGCCTGGCAACCAGGCACAAAACACACCAGGCAGATGGCCATCTAAGCATTTTGGAGGGTGGGAGCACGTCTTTTCTTCTACCCTGTTGGAGTCCCCTAATTCCTCAAGGATGGCATCCTTAAACAATATAAGGGAAACATGTGCTGTTGTCCCTTTTTTTAGATTAGAATGGCTGCATAATGTGCTGTTTAAATCATATCAATCATGCTTTAGATTTTTTGCCCATCAAATTCTTAAAGTTGGATATTTAAACCTCCAGGCATTTTTAAAAAGTCCTACTTTTTAATTTGTCTCATTTTTATAATACACTCTGTTGTCCTCTGCATTCTGAAGGACTACACACGCACTCACTTTTAACAATAATAATACATCATGAGCATTGCCATTCTTAAATGGAGTACAAAGGAAATAACGAAAATCCTGAGATTTCTAATGCAAGGAGCACAGAAGAGAAGCCGCAGAGTGATTGCAAGCGCCCAGACCTTTGCTCAGATCCACCCTGGAATTATTTTAACATTGACTGCACACCAAGCTATATTGAAGAATACATGACCTTTTCCACTACTGCCACCTAGTGATAACACAGAGCATGTTTAGTCGGTATACAAAATGGCAAATGTACAGTGGTACCTTGGCTCATGAACACCTTGGTTCATGAACAAATTGGGTCACGAACAAACATTTCTGAAAAATTTTGACTTGGGTTGCAAACTCCGCATTGGGTGGCGACCAAGATCGCAGCCATCTCCCACCCCCCGAGTGGGGAGATGGCCACGATCGCAGTTACTTTCGTGCAGGGAAGGCGTGCGTGATCACAGGCACGCTCCTGCAGGAAAGACGGGCGCAATCTCGGCCATCTCCCCCGTGGCTGTGCTGTGCCCATCTTCCCTGCAGCAGCGCACCCGTGATCACGCACACCTTCCCTGCATGAACAGAACTGTGATCGTGGCCATCTCCCCACTTGGGGGGGGGGGGGGCGGTCAGGAGATGGCCGCGATTGCAGTTGCTTTCATGCAGGGAAGGCGTGTGTGATCACAGGCATGATCCTGCAGGAAAGACAGGCGCAATCTTGGCTATCACCCCCCCTCAACCAGCACGATCGCGGCCACCTTCCCACCCCCAGCGCACCCCATTCGTGCCCGTCCCTCCCCCAGTGCGCCCGCAATTGTGCCCGTCTCTCCCCCCCCCACACCCCCCCAGCGTGCTGGGATGATAGACCTGTGCAGGGATGACAGGTGCGATCTTGGTCGTGCTGCGGGGGCAGGGAGATGGCTGCGCTTGTGCTTGGGGCGAGGGAAATGGCCGCGATCTTTGTTGTCACTTTGCTTCACATTTTTCTGATTTAAAAAATGGTTACAGAACAGATTAACCTTATTTACACTGAACCTTTTGGGGAAATTTAACTTGGCTCACGACCAATTTGGGTCATGACCAGAGTCCTGGAATAGAGTTAGTTCGTGAGCCAAGGTACCACTGTATAGCTACAACACACATTTACAATGGCAAAGTAATGGTGAGAAGTTTAAGGTGCTTTACTAATGGGAAGCCTTCACAGTCAGCTTTTACCGGCACACGTGCACACACAGTTCCACCAGTTATGGGCCAGGAGTAGCCTACGCTCCCTTCTCCAGCTAGTGTTATCCCACATTTCCGTCCGTTACCTAGGTATCTCTCAAGGAAACAAGGTGGCTTGGTGTGCCAGTCATGCACGCTGAGCAAAGGTCCACCACTCAGAGGTGGGACATGCCATCAGCTTGACAAAGCATTGGTATCAGTTGTCTCAGTGACATGGCCTTAATGTAGGGATCTCCGTTCTGAGAGCCAGTTGGATACTGAAGTAGTTTGGGCGCATGAAGCAGATCCGTGTAAACCAGAGCAGGGTTAGAAAGCTGGGCTGAGGCAGAAATACTACAGGGCAGAGGGAGCCAATCCCTTTTGTGTGTCAGTGGCAAATGCACAAATGTAAACACACTAGAGCCAAAAGTCTTAAAATAGTCCAAGCTTAAGAGACCACACAGAATGAATGATACTGAGTTTGGGAGGCAGGAGATGAAGGCTGCACTGGGAGATGGCTGGCATGCTGCTGAACTGGTGGAGATTATTCCTAGCTGGCACCAGTAAATGGAGGAGGCTGCACAGAAACGGGAGCCGAGTCATCTGTTCAGCGGCTGACAAGCCCCCACTCTGCCCCAAGCCAAGAGGTATGCAAGTCCAAGTCAGCTATGGCAGCGGGTTCCTAGGAAGAGGCCAGAGATCCCCAATAGTACGATGGCTCTGAGCTGGCAGGTAGCGCTGATCCTTTGTGGAGTGGTTTCCATTAGATTAGGTATCTCAGTGGGAAGGAGATGATGGCTCCCAAAGCCAGGCCTAAGGAGAGGAAGAAGGCCATGATGGCTCCAGCAGTTTCTGCTTCATGAGACAGCACCTTCCTAATTAGGAGGAAGAGAACAACTGGTCAGCACCATCCCGTCGCCTGACAGTGCCCTTGCCCAAGTCAGCTACCCAATGCGAGTGGCTTTCCCCTGCCGCCCTTTGCATTCCCCGTCTCCAAAAGATAGGAGTGCACAGCATCATAGATTGCCTCCTTTTAAACAATTAAGATGCAGCATTTTGCAAACTGTGGATAATAACAATATACCCAGGACGACATAACTTGGGAAACAACATGAAGGAAATCCAAGTAACTGGAAGCCATGCCTGCCTAAAATGCTGTGGATTTCTAAGTGGCTTCAGAGGCTTCACCTACAGATGATCTCTTGCTGTGCTGAGACCCCTTGGCAACATCTTTTAATCAGGATGGGATCCTGGTTGCACCACAGAGGTCAAAAAGGGCACCTGGAAGTTGACAGGTCCCTTCTTTCAAAGGAAATGGCTACGGACCAGTGCAGTAGCCCTGACTGGCAAAAGCTAGTCAACCAGCTTTGCAGAGCAATTGCTCTCCTTCAAGAGGTACAGGAGAGGCAGAAGCCAGAAGAGCAGGCCTCTGTTGGCACTTTACTGAGCCCTGTCCCCCTCTTCTGAAGTGATACTCACTTGGGTCCAAAGCACATGCAGAGGCTGGCCAGGTAGCCGTTGGAGAAGGCGAAGAGAATCATGAAGACAATGTACCAGGCATCATGGGCGAAGAAGACGGGCAGGTTGCGGCGTGACTGTACATTGCACAGCAAGAAGAGAGGGATGAAGACCACACGGGCGATTACCATGCAGGGCAACAGCTTGCTGTCCTTTCCAGGCTGTAGGGGATGAGGAAGGGAGAGCTGTTAGGAGCTGCTTGGACATCCCCTAAAGACAAACTGCAGCTTTGGAGGAGACCTGATCTGTACGGCTTGGCTTGGCTTGGCATGAGAAGGCTTTCTGCCTCCCTCAAGGAACAAATGGGAGGAATAAAAGATGATCTTTGGGTCCAATGTTTTTGCATGGGCATCCTCTGAGAATCTGTAGGAGCCTTCCCACAGGAGATGCGGCAGCTGATTCCATGGTGGTGTGCAAGAAACATGAGGGAGGGAGTTCTTGCTGCAAGAATCTTTGGCTGGTTGCCTCTAGAAGGATGGTTTCCCCAAAGGGTTCCTGTACTTTCAGCAGAGGTTACCAACTTGCTTCTGTGGGCTTTATGTTTCTGGCAATGCTTTCCGTATAGTGTTCAAATTACACATTTCAGGGAACATTCTGTTTTTCCCACACATTCCTGGGTTCTCTGTGGCCAGAGCTGGTCTGTCATCCAAACCCCCCTTGGCAACATCCACAGGATGCGGTGCAGGGAGAGTCCGCTGCACCACAGAGGACAAACAGTGCACCTGGAAGGCAGCAGGTCCCCACTCTCCTGTTCATCCAACACTTTCTCCTATCACAGATCGCTTTCCTCTGCAGGCAGAGGAAGAAATGCCCTGCGTCACTTGGGTTGCTGGCAAAGGCAAACTGCTGAGCAATGTTTCCACTAAGGGAGTAACTAGCCAACCGGAGAGGAAAAGAGCATCCCAAAGGAAACAGCTGGAATAGTCAGCACGCCATGGAACAGCATGCCCTCCCTCGGCTTTGGCAAGGGAACCTGGCAAGACTTCCTCACAAGTTGCAACACCCCCACAAGCCTTGAGTTAATTAGCTAGTCCCTCTCCTCATGCCACCTAGATACAGTTCAGCTAGTTCACACACGACCAAGTCCCGGTCTAAATTTAAGGTACTTCCCAGCCTAGTTATCAAGGGAGCCTTTCAAGGGATGTGTCAGGGCTGAAGGGGGTCATTTCAGGGAAGGATAATTACTTGGGGGGAAAGTGCATGCAGAAGGCAGGGCTGGGTAATCACTTTACTGGAGGCCTTGGGGAGCCGTTGCCAGTCAGAGTGGACTACACTAGGCTAAATGATCTGATTCTCAGCAATATAGGGCTTACTGAGGCCTCAACCTATCATGCAAGATTGAAACGGATCAGACAGCCCTTGCACTGCCTTCTTGCTTTCACTAATCTCAAATCACACACATTGTCCTTCAGGTCAGGGTTGTCAATCTTGGTGAATGGAGGGAGGGTGCTGCCTGCCTGCATAGCTCCTGACCTGCTCAGTTGCCCAGGTCACCTCCAGCTCTCTGCTCTAGTGGCATCTCTGTGGCAGGGATCTTAAACATGCCACACTAGTCTATATAGGATAATCTCTTGGACCCAGTGGGCACATGGCCCATCATCCTTACAGGAGGGGTTGGATGAGGCTCTCCTTTTACTGTGCCTCCCCACTTCTCAATTGCTAGGACTAACCCTGGTGAGGATGGTGCATCCTGAAAGCAGATTAAAAACAAGTAAATAAGTAAGTACATAAAGGACTTAAAGGGTAAGTCTGTATTACAAAAACACAGGACCACCGGCATCAGCTAGTGCGGACTGGGATGGATGTCTTCAGGCTTTCTGAAAAAAGCCAGCCATGGCGAGGCCATGTGTTCCCCCTGGAAATCATTCACAAAGGCAGAATGACATGACAAGCCAGAGGTCAGCTTCTTAGCTCCAATTTACCTGGGAAAATTTCTACTAATGGGGCAATTATGTTACTGAGACTTTCTGAGGACGGAATGAATCCTAGCTTGCCAAAATAGCTCCAGTCTCTTATGAGGACAATGGAGCTTGGACAAACTTCCATCTAGGCACTTGGAAGTTAGCAAGTGGGTAAACGAGTGGGATTTTAACAAGTGGCTTCCCTCTGTGCCGCCCCCTCTGCCACAATACTGATCATGCTGTGGTGCACAGTCAAAACTTGCCTTCCTTTTGCAAGTGAGGAGGTAGCAAGGAAATGGATCAGCCAAAGGAACGGAGGGTGATTCATTAGTCTCAGGCCACCCATCCACCCCTTCTACACAATCAAATGTTCCACAGAACTGTTTTGGAAACATGCTTCTGCGAGTCCATCTTTCCACTTGGGAGACTGGGCAAGAGAGAGCAGCCAGATTAATCACTGCTCCAAGCACAAATGGAGAAGCAAAGGTACAGCTGGGCTTGGCTTCCCATGGAGGCCTACTTGTTCAGACCAGAACAGAGCTTCAGACTGTTTCACACTGATACACCCTTTCAGATTAACTGCCTTAAAGTATGAAGTGTGGGAGCAGGAAGGTCAAAGCTAACATACCAGTCTAAGTGGAAAGTTCCAGGAGAGGCCGGGAGGAAGTACACTGCTCACAGTTCCCAGGGCAGCAGGTTGCTTTGGCTTCTCCACCCTCTTGGTCACAGACCTGGTGCTGGATTGCTACAGTCCCTTCCCTGTGGGCTGGTTCCTCTCACTATACTGCTTCTGTGCTGCACCAGACAGGCTGCTGATTGTGAGCCTGCACGTGGGCTTGTTTGACGAGGAGCTAATCATTCATGAGGCCGTGTCTTCGTCCAAGCCACATCCATGAGGCGGGAGGACGGAGGAGTGTATTACTTGGGCACAGCAAAATAATGAAGTAGCTCTGTGTTCTTCTCCCTACTGCTGCATTCTTCTTCCTCCTTTCCTTGAGCTCATGTCTTTGCTTAATCAGACAGCCAAGCTTCAATTCCCCTTCCTTTCCCTCTATCCTTTCACATCAAACCTGTCTGTTCAGATTTCCGCTCCAGTCTGTAGTATTTTAAAGATCATACACCTGAGCACTCTCTTTTAGTATTACCAACTGAAGATGACTGCCTCTCTGTTTTGTTTAGCCCTAATATCTGGTATTCACAGCTTTCTACTTTTGTCCACTGAGACTTCATTTAGCTATCATGGCTAATAGCCATTAACAGATCTGTGTATTTTTTTGGCTCAAGCAAAACTCCTGATTTTCAGCATCTCCAGCATTTCATCTCACCTGATTAAGTGGGGCACCTCACATACATCAATTTATCAATTTTAACTATCTGATTCAGCAGCCTACCCAGGGACAAATCAAACCAGGATCTCACTGAGATGTAAGTCACCCTAGAAGTCATGTCCTTCAAACCCTGGTTAATGCAGGACCTGCAATGCAGGGTAAAACTACAGCATCCCTGAGAGATGGCCATACATCTGCTTAAATACCTTCAGGGGAGGAGAACCCACCATCTCCAAAACTAGTCTGTTCTGCTGGCAAATAGCTGTTACCATTCAGATTTTTTCCCTAACATTTCGGTGAAATTGGCTTTCCTGCAGTTTCCATCCACTGGTTCTAGTCCTGCCCTCTGGAGAGACAAGGACTAAGTCTGCATGAAAGCCCTTCAGATATTTGAAGAGCACTATCAATGTCCCCCATTCCTTTGGCTAAACATACTTAGGTTCTGTCCCTCCATTTGACTTGCCCTATTCCTCTGAAGGACACCAGGATCCCTCCTGGATGGGACGGCACAAGCTGATGCCATGTAAAGGGATTCCCAAGACAAAACTAACCTCTTGGTTAGGCTGGTAACAACTTTGACAAGCTTTTCCTGCCCTTTAACTGATTATCATGATGCTGCCACATTTTACTGTTCCTTTATTTATTTATCTACTGTTGCAGATGTGAGTTTAATGTGTATTTTAATGGTTTCTCTATAGCGTATTCTAACAGTGCTGCAAAAATATTTTCACATGCAAAACCATTTGAAGATTTTATTTTATTCAATAACATACAGGTATTATTACTTAACAAGCAAACACACACCATTAACAATAGTTGGAAGTATAACAAATACGACTCTTAAGTGCTGGTTGGTGCTATTATTATTAAGACCTCTGTTTATGTTTTTGTTTCTGCATCCTGCCTTTGCTTACCTCTATCTTACTAGACCATCCAATTATTCTGCATCTTCTGCTATAAGTGTCTTTGCTGGGCTTAATGCAATTTGGACTCCCATTTGCTTTAAGGAGTGCTAAACTGAAGAATACCGATAGCTTTGAATGTCTTTTGACTCTAAGGAGCTAAATTTCAAATATTTCTGACTGATCTGAGCAGAGTTCAAATTGAACTTGCTGCTAGTGGGACAATTTGGAGTTGCTTGAAGTTTTAAAAAAATGTTTAAATATCAGTGAAGATGGGCTACCCTGGTTTCAGCCTGAAGGAATTAGTTGCACTACATCTGTGCAGTTAATTCTGGAAGCTGAAGCTTGGCCACATGGCCCCTCTGGGCCTTGGGTTTTAAAAAGACATGTGCCAGGCCAATAAGCAGCATGGCTTGAAAAGGACCGAGAAGTCAATTTGACTCCTTCCACAAATGTACCACAGTAGTAAGAAGCACAACAAGGTGTGGTGAGAGTTCTTCCTTCACTTCCTCATTTGTGGCACATTCTTAACTCTTATTTTTCTTGGTCTGTAATGTGAACATTTTTCCCTACCTCTCCACACACCATGGTGGATTCAGTTCTACTTTTGGACGCCAAAGCACTGAAGAGAGAATACAGCTCTTCCCCAAATGGGAAGGCAGGAGGCTTTCTGAAGCCTGGAGGAGGACACTGGAAAGTGGAAAGGGGGATTCAGAGCCATGGAACCCAACGCAGGCCCAGTGTTCCTTCACGTCCTGTCCATGGAACTTCTTAGTTTACAAGAAACTGCCCTTCTTATGCTCTCCCACCTGCAAAAGTGTGTCACACCTCTCCTTTAATGGGGTTTAGGGGAGCCTGTCTCTGCTCAGGTACTGCACACCTGGGCCTGCATACTCACCCACATACAGGCAGCAGTAAGGCTCCGTCCGGCCCAGTCAAAGACATTAAACATCAGGAAACAGGAGACTGGGATGAAATATTTATCTGAAGAGACAGCAATGAAGAAGAGATATCAGTGCCAGGATCCATCTCCTGCATTACTGAATAGAACAAAAGAGACACAGAGGGCTAGGCCCAGGGCAGCTCTATTGCTTGTCTGCGAGGCACAGAACCGGCCTCCAGAAGGAAGTAACATGAGGATACTGAATGGAAGTCGAGTTCTGCACCCAAGGCAGGGTCTGTCGCTGCACTCAGTCATCACTTGAAATGTTCATGCATCCATCAAGTGAAGGAAGCCCAGCCTTAAAGACACAGGCAAACAAACAAATAACTGGAAAGCTGGGACTAGGGAATGTGCAAGCGTGAAAGCAGACGGAAGAAAACAGGGCTGTGGCTCTGTGCATACAGTTTGCTTGCAGAAGGGCCCAAGTTCAGTCAACCGCTTCTCCTTGCAGCGATAGAGAAAGTCCTTCCTGAAACACTGGAAAGCTGCTGCCAGCCAGCGTCATGAACACTTGGCTAGCCAGGCCAAGAGTCTCACTCGGTATAAAGAGCTTGCTTTATTTTGCTATGTTCTGCACTAGCAAAATTTAAAGACCTGCTCTGTTTTGAAAAGGAGATGATCTCATGTGGGGCACACAGCTTTCCATCATGTAGTTTTTCCTTGCATTCTTGGATCCTCTCCTGAATTCTTCTCCACATTGTACCCATAGTCTTCTCTAGCCCACACAACGGTAGTGACATTAATTCTCATTGGCAATGTTTGTACTGGCATATTGCATAACACAGACTGATTATGAAGACTCCTTGCAATTTCCTTCCCCACATGTACAGACTCCAATACAGCTGTAGTCAATTGTAAAATAATGCATGATGTAAATGCAGATGGGATGTGGGCACACACAAAAGAAACAGGAAAACGTGCATGTTTTATCCAAACAGGACATGGAAAGCTAAATAGGAAGGCTCTGTTTTAGTTTTTGGACTCCCATATCCCTCCTCAATCACTGACAGACATCCAATATTTTCTTAAGAACTCTTTTCCCCCGCAGACAATCCTCCCTTCCAAACCCTCCCACTTGCAGGACTAAATCTGCCCACTCTCTGTCTAATTCTTTCCTGCTCACGGCAAGCCTCTGATTGGGTTCCATCTCGATTCCCATGTTGTTGTCACCTTGTTTAAGCTAAGCAGATGTCAACCAAGCCAGTTCCTGGATGAAGCATAGCCTGGGAGTCCCCATGCAAGCTTGTCTGCGTTACCCAAAAGAAGAGTGGGCTATTCTTGTAATAAAATAAAAACTGCAGCGGGTCCACACCTCTCCGGCTGAACCTAAAAGAGAGAAGTTTCACTTACCCCACAGTGTCTTTCCTGCAATGGTGGACTTTACATCAGCGGTGACAGCTGGAAAGACCCCAATTGTAATGGTAAAGACTAAGCACACAGAAACAGCCATGACCCAGAGCTGGAGGAAAGGATAGAGTAAATATATGTGAGGACAAATCCGGCTGAAGAATTCCATGAAAGCTCCTTTAAAAAAAATGGATGCAACTCCCAAACTCAAACCCAAGGCCTGATCAGAGAATCACAGTAGAGTTGGAAGGGACTAAGAAGGCCATCAGGTCCAACCCCGCACTGTTGTAGCTCAGCAATTTACACCATCCCACAGCTTGTGTACCTTTTTGAAAATACTGAGGACAGAAGAGTTATGGCTGGCTGCATGAGAGGTCCCATTTGCAGTCTGTTTGGGTTCTACGCCATTGCAATCATCTGCAGAAAAGAAAGTGCAAAAATATGAGGTTTACAAGAATAATCTCCTTCACATATTCTCTAATCCAGACGGGAACTGTTACAAGCGTATTATGCTAGAATTGTACCTGCATGTTTTTGGTTCATTCCCAGGCCTAATTTGAAGTACTGTTTTTGACCTATAAGGCCCTTGGTGGCTCAGAGCCACAACATATGAAGGACTCTTTCCACATATTCCTACTGTGTCCTCACCTTCTCACTACCAGTCCTCCTCTGAGTGCCCGTAAATACTGAACGTGGCAAGTGGTTTCTTACGAGCAAGCCTTCTCAGTGGTAGCCCCCCCGTTATACAATGCCCTCCTCAGAGAGGTCTGCCTACTTGAATGTATTTTAAGAATCTGTCAAAAAACATTTTTATTCTTGCAGGCTTTATATTATTGCTGTCTAGTTTGTATTCTAAAGTAGTTTAGCTCTGTGAAATTTCATAGAGCTTTTACTGATTGCTGACTGTTATGTTTAAATCCTGGCTGCTTTTAAATTGATTTTTTGTTTTTGTTTTGGTGTTGCTCCTGATGTTCTTTTGTATGGCAATTTTATTTGTATTTGCATTTAATCTGTATTTACGCAAGTCAGCCTGAGAACAATGTATTAAAGGGTAGCTAATACACTGAATGAATATAGGTAAACGGAGGCTTTTGATTGTTATGAAGTGCTGTAGGGACCCCACAAGCATTACATTTAAATTGGCTTTGCACAGCTCCATCCTTCCGTTCCTCTCTGGCTTTTACCTTTTCTGATGAGATCAACCTTGGTTTCCATCTCAGAATGGCTGTTGTGGTTCTGATAACTTGTCTTGTCCTTCATGGAGTAGTAACGGAAGAAGTCCTGAGAAGAAATCAGTGCACAGAATGTTTACTGGTGTATTGCAAGGCCGTATCAAACGGGATGGATCGTGGGGACTCTTCCAAAACAAAAACAGTGTGGTCTTTCTAGCTTGACCACACTGAAGTATCACTGAGCATGGGACACAAAGCCCTCGCTCTTGCAAAATGCTGCCCACAGGCCAGAAGCGTAAAGATGGCTCCTCTGGCGCTCGCCACGGATGTCCACATGGGGCTATCTTCAGAGCCAAGGGAAGCCTTACCAGACGAGGCAACATGACATAGGAGCCAATGGCTACCAGGATCACCCCGCAGGCTGTAATAAAGTAACCAACAGCACTGTCTTCCAGTTTAGAGCCACCTGAAAAAGATTTGGAGGGAGTGGTCAGTGGGGACGCTTCCTTCCCCCGTATAACCCAGAGTGGAGCAGAGGCAGCCACCTGGGCCCTCCTGGAAGTCGTGCTCAGAGGAGCCTTGACATCCTTTCTTGAAGCCAGGGTCATCTGGCTCCAACCTTTGCACGGAGGACCAGTCACAACCCGAGACACCATACCATAACTTGCCCTTCACAGGCACTCTGCCACTGAGCAGAGGCAGGGAGCGGGGGGGGGGGGGGTCCCCCAGGCTGAAGCAGCTGTGCCCCGGAGAAGAGGGGCAGCACTGGCAGCCCTTTCCTTTGCTGGCAGCAAGATCAGGGGCTCCTCCCCCTTCCAAATCCGGCCCAGGCTGCACAGGTGGTTGTGCAGCAGCACTCCACCGAAGAGAGGGAACTACTCACTGGCAATTGCGCAGATCATGGCCAGAGCTGCAAACGTCCCTGCAAGGCCCTGTCCGCTCATGATAGGTGCTGTGTAACTGGCGGGTAGGAGCCCTGCCAGTCCAAAGAGGCTGCTCTGCAGGATGGCTCCAAAAGCTGTCAGGAGAAAAGGCACACAAGAGGTTTCGTAAGGGATTGGCAGGCCGATCTGGTGCAGAGGGAGGACTGGGCACCCCCACACAACGTTCAGGGACAGGAAACTATCTGCCTATGGGTTGCATCCTCTGAATGAGCACCCCACATTCAACCCTGATACATCCCTATGTTCCTACAGTGCCTTCTACTGGCAAAAGTTGGAACTGCAGTGGCAGCATCCTACTAAAAGAGCATGTCTGGCCCAGCCCCTCCCCACCTCCTGAGTCAAGTGAATGCTGGCCTTTCTATTCCCTGCACTGGACCGAGAGGCCTTCTTGGTCCCTTCCACCTATACCAAAATCAACTTACAACTGACCCCCACTTACAATTGATGAAGACTATCTTGATCATGGTGATGATGAAGAAAGGCAGAGGCTCCATGCTGACCTTGACAAGGACAGCAGTTACCAGAAAGACCAAGAAGATGGCAACCAAGCTGCACAGAATCCGTACCTGCTGAGGGATCCTAACAAACAGAAAGGAATAGAGAGAAAAAAAACCCCCTAAAAGACCCATCAAGTTGTCAAAAACTTCTTCATGCGCGGGGATGGGATCTCTGCAGATCTAGCAGAATTCTCAAACCATAGCTCCCTTTTCAATTCTCAAAGCATAAAGAAACCTATTTAATTTTACTGAGGTAAATACTTCCACAGGGGGGTTTGGGAAGCCTCCACTGGCATGTAAAACACCATCCAGCACAACACATACTGACTTGGTGAAAACTACTGGAGAAAATACTTTTACGGATCTAGGAAATCAGGGTCAAATTCTAACTCGGTCATAGTGAACCAACTTTGACAAATTCAAGTCAATGAAGAGAAGCTAGTAATGGTGATAATTTAACAATGAGAACCTTGTTTGCAGATAATTTTTACATTAAAATACCATGTACCTACAACTCTACCAAGCCACTTTTATGATGGCAAACCTAAAGGAATTTTAAGAGATCATATGACTGTCTGAAAGTAGCTGGCTCCTTTCCACCAGGGAAGACTAAGGTTGGTCAGGCCTGGATGCTACCAACTTCCTGGGTTTGCAGGAAAACAGGAACAAAGCAGGGAGAAAAGTCACGTGGAACTCTCTTCTGGAAAATCTACAAATATCTCACCTCTGGTGGATGAAAGAATTGAGGCAAGTGAAGATGAGTAGAGGCAACATGGCACAGAGCGTCATCATATTGTTAAATATGGAATGCAGGTGTGAGGGGGACACGTCCACTTTCCTTGCCAAGCCTACATTGCCATGACCGATGTGGGAAACCTGCAAGGGAATTTGTCAGATGCTTTATGTGCATGACGAATGAGCACAAGCTAGAGAAAGCTGGTTGCACTAGTCCCACCAAAATGCAAGGGGCCACAGTGTTTTCATCAACAAAGTGTTCCTGTGTCTTTCCGCTGTTGTATGGAACCAAAGAATCTGGCTAGAATAGATCATCAATGCTGCCTTGGGTCCCCCAACTCCAATGGTGCTGGATACATCAACAGTAACGCTTAATTTCTCAAGGTACACTTCAGGTCCTCTTGCAGCGTGTTAAATGTGCCTTGGTTCACCATTTGGAAATTACTGATCTAAGCCAATCATTTGATGCAGACATCCAGCATCAAACGGATCTCCCACACACAGGCATTCACACACCCCATAAACTTACATTGTTGGGTTCCTCCTTCCCTGAGAAAATAGTAGAATTCATGTGGTCGATGGAGGATGGGCTGTGGGAATCCGACAGGCGGCTGGTAAAATACTGTAGAGAACAGGAATAAAATGTGTGGAACCACAAGAAGACCAACTCTGAAGTCAAGCAGGTGACTACAGTTTGCCAGGTTCTGCATACAGCAAGAATTCGCCCTTCCCATCAAAGTATAAATATTAAATGGCTTATTACATCAACACAACTAGAGCAGTGCTGCCTCTCCTGGTCATATTCATTAAGAAGACCACATTGGAAAGGATATCACACATGCCTTCCCTTTTTAAATAGTTGGGTCTTCTTTCTCCAACCTCCTCGATCTTTCAGTGGTTAGACAATGGGAAAAACTGGTTGGTTGCCGATCATGGCAAATGGGTCATGCCAAAGAAGGATGCTTGCAATTACAGGCTGCTGGGATTAAAATGCCTACTGAGAGCCACGATGGCACAGCACTTAAAGTCTTGGATTAGGACTGGGGAGACTGAAGTTCAAATCCCACTCAGCCATGAAGTTCTTTGGGTGAAAGTGAGTCAGTCATTGGCTCTCAGCCTATCCGAGGCTTGTTGTGAGGGTAAAGTCTGACAACAAAGAACATGTACACTGCCCTAGACTCCTTGGACAAAAGGCAGGATATGACATACATATAAAAAATGTAAGTAAATACTATACTTTGTGCACAGGCCATCATAAGTTTCCTATGTCTAGGAACTTGCATATAGCAAATAATCTTGCCAATACTTCCCAAACAGTTGGTACTTGTGGCACAGTTTTGCTGCATTACAGTGGGAGGCAGCTTTCTCTCTCACATTCAGAAATGTTCCTATCTTTCTGTCTGCTTGTTTACTTTTGTATTTATCCGTTTCTGTATCTTTCAGCATTCCTCCCTCAGGAAAATGAGCAAGCACCCTTCCTTCCCTTAGAGGAATTGTCACATCTGGAATTTGCTACATTTCAGGAAATGCTGGTGCATATTTTACTCCTTCACAGGATGATGCTGCTGACCAAAAACGGACAGAGGGAAGGCCCATGCTGCCTTGCACCTTTGCACTCCAACGGCCACAGAGTGGTGCCTTAATTTTCAAGACATGGTTCAAACTGTCCCTGCTTTTGGCCTGCTACTGTGCCTTGGCACACGGTTTGGGAATCGTAAGTCTAGGGTGCTGCCTCGCCTTGATGTCTAAACACATCAACAAACAAGGTGCACACACCTCCCCTGAACTTACCATGGTAGCTGTCATGAAAAAATTCCATGGCAAAAGCGTTCCCAGACCAAGAATGAAAAAGATAATCCAAACAGCTTTATACCTACAAAAAACAGGCATAATTAAGCTGGATTCCAGGAAAGAGAACGATCAGTTCTTCATCCATTTATTTATAGCATTTACAGACTACCCTTCATAATACATATCTGTGCGTGGTTTACAATGCAGATTAAAACATGACAATACAATACAGAAAGAAATCAGTGTAGCCACAAAAAGCACCAAACACACTTTTAAAAAACAACTGAGGAAATGATGCAGCAAAACTGCTAGCATTTGGAATATGTATAAAATGATACTCAAAAAGCCTGGGAGAACAGATATGAGTTTGCCTGTTGCCTAGAAGACAGCCAAGCAGGCTCCCGGTATCTTGCCTTGAGAAGGGACTTCCATAGCAGTGTCACTGCTGAAAAATCTTTCATCCCAGTCAGTTGCTGATGGCATGAGAATCCAGAAAAGTCTGTAGTACAGGGATGGGAAATAGTGACCCTCCAGATGTTGCTACAACATGATTTCCACCATCTCTCACAGGCTAGAGCAGAGTTGCACTCCAGAAACATCTGGAGGGACACAAGCAGTCCACTCCTGCAGTAAAAGATATCACCATCAAGGCAGGTTGATGTGGAAGCAGGAATCTCTCTGATGTCCGGAGCAAGGCTCAGAGTCCTATTGACCCTGCTGAAGTGCTAACTGATTATCAGTCTCAGATTAATCAGAGCCAAAGGGGAGGAAGAGGCTGCTCTTAGCTACAGCTTACACAAAATGTGGGGCATATGTTCTGTGTACTCTTCCAGAGTGCAGATGATGGGATTGTCCAACTAGATTTTAAGCTGAGATGCCAAGGTTTGGGAGAGGAAGATGGCAAAAATTTCCAGTTGAAAAAAGCAAAAACTGGGGAAGCACTGAAAAAACCCTCCTACAAAATATTTTATCCTTTGCAATAATCAAATACTTTTTAAGCCAAGGATTTATTCACTCAAAATATGTAATATGAAGATTTTTATGTATGACAATCCCTAACATTAGTGACTAGTAATTGTCTTTGCATAAAAGGGTGTTCATACTTGTGAGGCTGCAGTCCTATGTATGCTTCCTAGCATTAAACTCCACTGAAAAAGCAGATCTTCCTCCTGAGTAAACAAGTATGGGTCTATAATTTTAATAAACACAGAGGCAGTGCCATTTTGCAGGCTTAGTTACAAATAATGCATTTTATGTTGTAAAATAAATTTTGATTGTATCAGAAAAGTATTGCAAAAATTTTATTTCTCTACCACTGAATCTGCTCCACAAAAAATTATCTTCTCCAGGATCTTCAAACTTTCTGGAAATGTGATATCTCTAGTTAAAAACATGACGGCAAGAGAAGTTGGATCACTCCCAAGCCTACAACAGCCAGATGTGAAACAGGACTGATCTCTCTGATGCTAATGTGTTTTGGCCTCCTTGAAGAATGTAATGCTCGGCAATCACCTCTTTGATTTAGAAAACCAGCTTATCAGGAGGGGAACATTTAGCAACAACAGGTTCCTGCCACATAAATGTGCATTTAAGACCTTATATGGCCTCTGCACTGCTAATACACTATTTGCACCTTCCCACTGCATACAGTATGAATCACTTTGATTTCATTTACAAACTTTATCCTGCTCACCAGAAACTGTGATGAAATTTAGTATTGCTCTTATTTCTTCCACCCATGTCCTTCCAAAGTAATGTGCGAGCTTATCAGGGGCATGGATCCACCGCAGGCATGAACAACTGCTGGTCAAAAACTGAACACATCCCAAGGGCCAAATTCAATGGCAAAGCAGCTCTTAGGGAAGGAGGGCTGCATTCCAAGTGGTGGGCAGGGCAAAAGAAAAGGGTCCCCAAAAACCAGTGTACATTCACGTAAAGCTCTCAGTGCCAATCACTTAATCTTAGGAGACACATTCCAACCTTTCAAAAAAGCAAACGCCAGGAAACCAGTGGAGACAGACAGCAAGGGAAAGGGAGTAGGGCCTGGGGAGGGAGACATGGGATCCCAAATGGGCTGTATTTAGCCTGTGGTCCCTTACATCTGCCAAACCCAGCAAACTCAGTAGGAGGGGAAAGCACATGTCCTTCCTTTCTGGCCATCAGATCCTAGCCATACCTGTCTTGAGGAGTACTGCCTGTCATTGTGACACCTTGGGCAAGCCTGAAGGATTTCTTGCTTATAGTGGATCCTCAGTGCTTCACGATACAGCTGGCTTCCTGTAGACCAAAGAAACAAACAAAAATTTGTCGTTATTTGTTTTTCGGCACAGGCTAAGACCTTTTTAAACAACATTTTAATAACTTTTAATATCATCTATAGGTTTTAATTTGCAGCCAGGGTGAATCTGGATTTTATTTGTATTATTTGTATTATGTTCATTTATTTTATGTAAGCCATCCCGAGGCTATGCGATGGGACGGCATACAATAATTATAAATACATACATACATACATAAAATAGTTAAATAGTTACAGGGAGCCAAGGGGGAATGCAATTGCCAAGGAAAATGGTGAGTAACAGATTCATAGATAATTCATAGTTTCAAGGAACATCCCAAGGAAAAGCAGGTTGCTTACCTGTAACTGATGTTCTTCGAGTGGCCATCTGTGCAGTCACACATATGGGTGCTGCACCTGCGCAGTGCCTTTGGCCGGAAGATTGAAAGCTAACTGTTTTTGGTGGGAAGCTCCGCTCCCCTCCCCCACAGGCTATAAAGAGCGGAGCGTCCGCCATTTGTTCAGTCTTTGACGACCGAACGTGCGCCCCCTTGTGGAAAAATTCTCAGTATGATCGGTACCAAGAAAAAATGGGAAACTTTCGGTACCGATGAATGAGTCCACTCACCGACACCGAGCGGGGCCGGCGGGTGGGTTGTGTGACTGCACAGATGGCCACTCGAAGAACATCAGTTACAGGTAAGCAACCTGCTTTTCTTTGTCGTGGCCTCTGTGCATCACACATATGGGTAGATTAACAAGCTTACCATCAAAGGAGGAGGGAAGGTGTCCTTATTGTAGGACGGAGGAGAGTACAGCTCTACCGAAAGAGCAGTCCCGTCGAGCCCGAACATCGAGACGGTAGTGCCTGGCGAAGATGCAAGGGTTCGCCCAAGTAGCGGCTCGGCAGACGTCATCGATCGGGACTCCGGATGCGAAAGCAGAAGACGTAGCGACAGCTCTAGTAGAATGGCCTCGGGGAACTGTAGGCAGTTCGAGCTT